GTTCTGCAAGGGTTAACGAGCCTTGGGCCACAAATTTGACACCAGAAACCAGCAGAGGGGGGTCCCTTACATATGACCCACTTGTATTTTGCCTGGCCCAACGCCATTGTGGGCATGGAATAGGCTGACAAAGTGGGCACCGCTGCATATTTTACCATTTTGAATAAGAAGCTGGAGTTCTGCAAGGGTTAACGAGCCTTGGGCCACAAATTTGACACCAGAAACCAGCAGAGGGGGGTCCCTTACATATGACCCACTTGTATTTTGCCTGGCCCAACGCCATTGTGGGCATGGAATAGGCTGACAAAGTGGGCACCGCTGCATATTTTACCATTTTGAATAAGAAGCTGGAGTTCTGCAAGGGTTAACGAGTCATGGTCAACTTCTTTATTCTCATAGTGGCAATAATTTTATTGTTGATTTTCCATTTTTGCTAAATCTTTCAAGCGCTGATAATATGTCTAATTACCTTTTACACCACTGAGTCACTGATAACTGAAAAAACTTTAATATATTAATGGAGCACAAAAATGTATAAATGAGATTATTTTGAATAAGAAGCTGGAGCTTGAATAAGAAGCTAACTTCAGCCTCGTGGGAAAGGGTTGGTTTCGACGTGGGATTTCGTGGATTGCCAGCAAGGAGTGGAAACATTTAGTCACAGAATTTTAGATAATACCTGAGGGGGACAGGGATGAAAAAATGTCAATATTTTGCTTTTTAGCTTTATTTAACATGCTGAAGCAGACTAACGGAGCTGCCTGCTTGGACGGCATCATAGTATGTCCTGTTGCCTCCATTACTGTTACTGAGGTTCTTCCTTGCCCATTGGTTTCCCCTTCATTTTATTTATTCATTTTATTTATTTATTTATTTATTTATTTATTTATTTATTTATTTATTTATTTATTTATTTATTTAACTTCTATGCCGCCCACTCTACCCAAAGGTCTCTGGGCAGCTTACAACAATTAAAATTCAATTAAAATACAATAGAAGATAAAATGATTAAAATACAATTAAATTTCACATTGAATGCTCAACTTATAACCACCTGCCCCCCCTTTTTTGCTTCTCCTTCCTTGATAACAGCAATCTAGCATTCTGCATTTTGTTTTATGCTCTCTTTTTTTCAATTGCTTTAGTACTTTTTGGCTGACCTTTTAAGTTAGGAAATGCCATTCCCCACATCCTGTGGAACTCCTTGACACAGGATGTGGGGATGGCATCTAGCTTAGATGCCTTGAAAAGTGGATTGGACAGATTCTATCTTGGAAGGCCATCGCATCGCAGGTAACAAGCCATGCTGGGGATGTATATAATCTCCTGGCTTAGAAGGAAGGGACCTCCAAAGGCCAGATGCAGGGGAGGGGGA